TAGTGCACAAAATAAATAAATAATATCTCATTTATAAAATTCAGAAAATGATTACATTATTTCATTGTCTTACTCCAAAAGCACAATGAACCCAATATCTCTTACTCGCTTAATGCAAGTCTGGGATCCTCCTAAGACCCAAAGAAGTAACATACCTCTCGAACACAAGTTCAGGCAAACTCTTAGTAACTGGGTCTGTAAGATCCACCTCTAATGCTATCTGAGTTTAGTGAAAAACTCATAGCTCGAGGTTGATTTCTTAAGTGAATATCCACTTGAAATAACTGAATGTGAAAACTCAGCTTTTTAAGACTCCCACTAAAATATACCAACATATAATCTCTCGTTCTCCAAAGATACTTAAGTACATGCTTAACAATAATCTAGTGTTCCTCTAGGTTCAGAATATTACCGTCTCACTACTCCTACTGCGTGGCAGATGGCTAGTTTAAGGCCCAACAGGATATGCATGAGACTACCTTTTGCCAAAGCATAAGGTATCCAACTCATGCATTCTTCCTTCTCAGGAGTCTTTGGTTACTCCTTAGGAAGATGAATTCCACATCTGAGAGTTATAATTCTTCTCTTAGAATTCTCATATTGAATTTTGGCAAGAGTTTTGTCAATGTAAGTAGTCTAAGGTGATGCCAACAACTTCTTCTTCCGGTTTCATAAGAGTTTTATACCAAGAATATAATTGGCTTTCCCAGTACTTCCATACCAAAACACTAACTTAGCCAACTCTTTATGCTTGATATTACCTCCACGTTGTTTCCAATAAGAAGCATATCATCTACACAAAGTATCAGAAAATCTACTGTCTTCTGTTGGATCCTTTACATATAAATACACATCATTCATCAAGGTTCTCTCAAAATCAAAATTTTGATAACCTGATAAAAAACTGATGTTCCAAGACCTGGATGCTTGCTTAAGTCAATGGAATAGACTTTCACAACTTGCATATTGTGTGTTCCTGCCCATTTGCTATAAACCCTTTTTGGTTGTTGTATGTAGATATCCTGACATCCAACTCTCAAAATAAAATCTCATAATTGAGACATATAGCAGCAACTAAGAGAATTTGGCTAGACTCAAGCATGGCTTCTGGCAAAAAATACCTCCAAGCTAGCTTTGAAGGTTTTCACCTTCCTGTCCATCCTTTCTTTACTTTTTAGGTCCACATGCATCTAGTGGGTCTTATCCTTCGTGATGCCTTTACTATGTACCTAACAAAGTTGAAATACAAGTATTACATCTCATATTTTATAGCTTGAGCACACTTGAACAACTGAACATGATCTTCACCAAGTCCAAAAATATTTGATTATTGTATACTACAATTTCATTCAACTAACGTGTTCTTAGAGTTTATAGTTATGAAAACTATCCCCTCTTAAATACGGTTAGACCTGAACTTACCAGACAAGTAGCCAACATTTTAGTCAGATCAAAGTGCTTTGATTTGAACATCTAGATGCTTTTCTGCCTCAGACTCAAACCTCTTGGAAATTTCCAAAAGCTTTAGACTTATGACGCACTAGATTCATCTATCCAAATCCAGAGTAAACATTCATATAATGAAGTACTCGTCACCTCTTCTGGCTTGAACGCTAATTGGTCCACATACATTAGTATGTACCAGTTCCAATTCAATAGTTGTGCAAATCCTTTTGACCTTGTAGGATTGGTTTGCCATTTTACCTTCCAAATAGGACCAACATATACCTTTTAGTTAAAAGATTCTTGAACTTTCAGTCCCTCTTTTAACTAAATCATGTTTCCTATTTGAGGTAATCTGACTCAATTATAAAAGCCAAAAATATGTTTCATTTGAAACTTTTATTTATTTGGTGAATGTTCTTGTTCATCATCCTTTCCATTCAACATAATAAATTTAAGGGGGTATAAGACATAGGTAATAAAGACTATTTAAACAATATACCAAAACAAACAAGACGAAGATGAACTTAAAAATGTAACTGAGGAATCAATTGCATTGTCAAACCATGTTTTAACCAAAACAACTAACAATAATTGAATTCTTCTTGAAATCCGGAACAAATAAATAGTTACCCAAAACCATAGTATTTTAAATAACTTGTCCTACTGCAAATGCAGACACAAGTTCCTATTTCAAGCCTAAAATATCTTTGTCCACTGCTGACAGGCATGCCATATTTGAACTACTACAAAGAGTAACAAACATAATCAGTGGTTCTTAAATCAATGATTCATTCACTAATCAGGCCTTAATATACCCATGTCTGGTTCTTTTCATCACCTTTGGGCAATTTTCCTTTCAGTGTCCCTTCAGTCTGCACTTGAAGCACTTGCCTTGTGGCTTCTTCATAGCAATTGGTTTGACAACTAATAACCAAGTTATTTTGTTCTTGTTACCACCACCATTCGGTTTTCCCTTTGATTTAACAAGACTTTTAGCAAAATCTGCGCTGACTGCATTTTGTCTAGCAGATCTGCTAGACGCAACAAACATGTCATTAAGAGTGTGAAGCATCTCCACTCCACTCTTAACCATGTACATTTGCTTATGCAAGTGTTTGGAAAGACTGACAAGAACATAATAATGAACTATCATATTTATCTTTTCCCAATCTGAGTATTGCATCTTTGTTTCCGTAGACGCATCCTCTGCAGGTTGCTATGACCCTCGTATTGTTAGGACAAATTTTAGCTTTCATGTTTTAGAAAAATATCAAAATTTGTTTTGCACTTATTCATAGTTGGTATCATCTAGACATTTTTGACTCAAAATCATTTCTAAGATATTTTCTGAAAAGCATATAAGGCAAGGCACACTATTACAAACAAATAATGCAATAAACAAAATTTTAAGTGCAAGTAGATTCTCATAACTACTCATGTTTATTGTTAACAATCCTTCAGTTTTCTTAACAAGGCTTACGATGGGCAAGTCACTTGTAAAAATTAAAATTGTTATTTAGACCTTCAGTGCCATTGCTAGAGCCTCGATGGGAGGGCTAACAATTTTACCAAAGTTGAATGTAATTAACCATTGTTTAATTTCAAAATTATCCTTAGTGTCCAAGCATTGCTGACGATGGGCCGTACAATAATTTACTAAAATTTTGAAATTATTAAGATTTAATCTAGTGAAATCTGATTATCTTTATCCGATGGGGCTTCAGCAATAACCAATTCAATAATAAATCCACAAATGGAGCCCGCAGATTTTAAAATTAGTTAATTAATTTTTTTTGGTAGGCAATTAATTAATTTTTAAATATTTACTCATTTAACATTTTTATTTGAGAATTTTTATAAGCTTTGTCGAATTAATTGTTTAATTTTAAAATTGTCTTTAGTAAATTAGTATTGCCGACGATGGGCCTTACAATACTTTATTAAAATTTTAAAATTATTAAGGCCTATAAAATTCAATCACGCTTATCCGTTGGGGCCTCTCATGATTATTTTATTGATAGGCCCACAATACATCTGGAGGTTAAATTAATTTCTTAATTTAAATCTCCTTCCATTCAACATAAGCAATTTTTTCAATTTTCAAGAATTGTTTAAATGAGAGTAACCTTTGTTTAATTTCAAAAACTATGTAAGCAAGAGCGCCGATAAACGTGCATCACTTAGCTTATCTGAATTTTGAAATCATTAAGGTCCTAAAATTCGGTCATGATAGGCAGTGTGTGCTTCACACAATCATGATACCTAATTGTGGTATACAGCGTGTGTTTAACACATGACCATTTTAGAAGACCCACAAATTACTCACAAAATAAACTATTCTCTTAGGAAATTTTCTTAATTATTTTTCTAGATTTAAATCATCCAAATAACTGATTTCATTATTAATCTAAATCTCAGCAATCGTAATAATTATCATTTATGAGGATAATTTGAAATCAAAATAATTTCCGTAACGATCATTAAATTATTAAATTCATTATGCACATATTTCAAAATTATTTCTCTAGATTTAAATCATAATTGTTGGAGTTATTGGATCATGCAGAAGCGATTAGACCATTGCGGTTTGGATATAAAGGATCATCATTGTTTACAATTACCTCTTGGTGCGCAGATCTCGTGCAAAACCTTCCCTTGTATGATTCCTCTTCTTGAACTACTCATCTCAGCGTCGTAGCATGAACAACCATCTTAAAGTTGGACTGTGACAAATCTTCCAGACTATATCTCAAGGGGAAATAGGAAGTGTGTGGGTACTCTCTCACTTTCAGGGAGATGACATTACCTCAGCCTCTACAACTGCCAAGTGAAGACTAGAGAGGCTGATGACTATAAGTGTAGAATATATATGGGTTTCAAGAAACTCTAACCCTAAGCAGAATGATCTTTAGGTTTCTTGGGCTCTTCTTACACACTAGGCCCTATTGGGCTTTAGTGAAAGAGCAAAACCCAACAATATATACAGAATATGAGTGATACTATCATCCAAAATCGATTGTTGTTGAAATTTGTGCACTTGCAAGCTACTACGTTGCACCAATATCAATACGAGATACACACGATACTTCAATACGTTAATTCTAAAAATGTTAAATTTCAATATGTTAAAACACGATTTGATATTAAATAGTTTATATTTAATACATATTACAACTCATAATAAATCATATAATCAATAAAATATTCAAATTCTATAATATAAAGCAAAAATTATTTTTTATGTCAAATTTCATAACAGAAAATATTTATTTTATAAATTAATTTTTCATGTTTAGTTAAAAATATAACATAAAATAAAATTTAAATCTGCATAAATGTTGACCACGTGTCTAACGCATGCCGGAATAGGTCAAAACGTTGATCGTGTGTCCCAAAATATTGACCACTTGTCGGAATATGTCAGTATCCAAAACGTATCCGACACGTATTTTTTAGAGAAAAAAAGTACGTGTCGGTGCTTCATAACTTGCAAGTACGGAAATTCAACTTTGACTCCCCAACCTGCAAGGGAAACTATCTTAAGCTTTGGTCCTCCACTCTCTTCCATCCTTGTCCTCCTGCTATACCATCAGCTTCACACGCTGCAGCATTCTTTACCACTATTAGCATAGCTTCATTCCATGCACTCCTTATGCTCAGATCTGTCTACACTGTATTCTTTGAATCCTGATAAAAACAAATCCTCAAATGCTAAGATGTGGGAAAATTTGGCAACATCAGACTGTCTTAAGAATTCAGGATCCTTTCACAAGATAGTTTGAATTACAAACCAGATCCTCTCAAATGCTCCTGTTAGTTTGAATTTCAAAACTAGTTCACAAGATAGTGCTATAAAGTGTCTTTATTCCTTTCTATTTTTCTTGTGGGTGGTGATGTCATACCAGTGTGCCAGTATTAGATCAAGAAGAAACCAAATAATAATAATAATAATAATAAAACTATTTTGAGCAAAGGGCCATAAAAATGAAAAATTATTCAACATGTCCAAAACTGTAATAAATACATAAAAGAAAAAATGAAACATTTAAAGCTATTTCTAAGTGGTTTAGCCTCAGATTTTAATAATTGCAGGCCAAACAATGTGTATCGAAAGAATGACAGAGAATATTTTTTGGTACAAGTAGTTTAGGGTGAGGTAGGCTCTCCCCATTCTAAGGTTTATGCAAACCCCCAACCTCAGCAAGGATTTACAAAGGGATTACTGACTTCCTACCAATGAAGAGATTCATGGATTCAAACTCAAGTCATGCAATTGTCACGAGCGGAAGGTCAACCAGGTGAGCCAACCTCCTCAGTGAATATGAAGTAGGTAAAAGCTACACAGCCAGAATCCTTTTTTCAGAAAATTTGACAAAATGAGTTGGCATGTTTCTTGTCTCTTTGATGGATGAGTTGTCACAGTCATTTTATCCTCTCCAACAACCATCATTAAATTTAACTGAGTTATGTCAAATCTAGCTATTTTTTTCTGAATATTCAGCACTACTCTATGAAGTAATTCAATATAGAATCTTCAGTGCAGAAAGCTTTCTGTCATCCCCAGATATTGTGAAGTCCTGAAGGGTACTATATAGACCACAGTTATGGTCATTGACCTAGCAAATTTATCTCCTAACATGGTGGAAAATGTCTGCACCAATACGGTGCTTCCTCTAGAAATGAGGTCTTTTCACCTTTCAAATGAATGAGATGCAGATGCAGAGTTGATGAGAACTCGGCCTCCTACCACATTACAAGCCACAGCTTGGCAGATGTCATCTAGCTTCTTCAAAATCTAGCCTGAGTTTGGTAACATATACAGCATATTACATGAGTTTGGTAACATATACTGACAAGATTGACAACATCACCCTTAACAGTTATAGAAGGCAACCCATTTAGCTGCTCTATGAGCAAGAAAATTTGAGTATCTTCTAACTTGAATTGCTTCCCAGTGCTCAAAACTTCCAAGGTTTTAAGTGACATCAAACATAGTCCTAGTGAATCATTCCATACAAGCCTCCAAGTCAATCAAATCTGTCATAACCACGTCACAGTCCTCCCATCCTCGAGACAGATGTGGGATTTGGGTATTACATCAGGAAAAACCCCATGCACTTTCTTTGATCCCTTGAATAAAAACTACATTATGAAGTACATCCAGCTTCCTTAACAAAAGAGAATGAAACTCAGGAATTTCAAATATGGTGCTTATGGATGAATAGGCAGGAGCATATATGGCTATTATCAACCTGTAAATCGTTCCAAGAAGAAATGATTCTTTCTATGGCAAATTTGGCTTGAAATTGAAGCATCAGGACATGGCTGCCGATGGGTAGTAATTAAGGTTTGAACCAGCAGTTCCACTTTGCATTTAGCAAAATTCATAAGTATCAGGCAAGAATTTAATTAAAATCTGCCAGAATATGTGATCCAAAAACTTTAAAGAGTATTCCCAAAATACCTCTGATCAAGGCAGAGTACGGGTTGAAGAAATTCCTTCTTCTACCATCTTTTCTCTCAATTTAGAGGCTTCATTAAGATCGCCAATCCTGCAGTAACCACTGATTAGTATATTATAGGTAACAACATTAGGAACCAAGCCCTTGAGATGAAGTTTATGGAAAAGTCTCTGTGCTCGATCCATATTTCGTAATTTGCACAAACCATTTATTAATGCATTATACGTAGTAATATTGGGAATAAGACCTCTCTCCAACATCTCATCCCTTAAGTTGAAAGCATCATCCACATTGCCAGCAACTGAACAGGCATGAATTAAGGTACAGTACGTGAAATTATCTGGAAGAAAACCTCTAGACAACAAAACTGAGAGAACATTCCTTGCTTCATCAACCTTCCCAGACTTACATAGTCCAGCTATAGCTATGTTGTATACAATATTATTGGGAAGAGAATTACATATAGCAGTTTTATCAAGGGAATCGGCAATTTTCTGAGCTTCTAGACTTACGACATCATTTTTGACAAACTTATCAGAACGCTTATGAATTGTAAGAAGATCAAAATCCACCATCTTGTCTAGGATCGCAGTTGCTTCATTGATTCTAGCATCCTTATAAAGGCTGCTGACAATTTTGCTACAGACCACCAAATTGGGAGTGAACCCTCTTTCAATCATCTCAAAATATAAATTAAAAGCTTTGTCCAGCTTCCCTTCATTACACCAACCAGAAATAAGGGTTCCGTAGGTAACAGCATTTGGTGATAATCCTCTTGTTTGCATCTCAACAAGGAGATCAGTGACGTCAGTTGACTTCCTAGACTTAAAAAGTCCATTAATAAGAGAATTGTACATTTCAATGGAGGGAGAGATTGCTTGTCTTTCCATGGCATCTTTAATTCTAATAGCTTTAACAACATTGCCAGTTTTACAATATCCGTCACTCAAAGTCCTATATGTTATTTCATCTGGCAAGCATCCAAGTTCCTTCATCCTATCAAAAAGAGTCTCTGCTTCCACCAATTTCCCCATTTTAAATAATCCATTGATCATCGTATTGAATGCAACTGTGCTCTTAGTAAAACCCCTGCCCAAAATTTCTTTCCACAGCATCATAGCCCTGTCATAATTTCCCATTTTGAAAAAACAATCAAGCAGAGTACAATAGCTGAGCTCATTCGGAGCCACACCTCTTTCTACCATCAAACGCCAAAGGCACAAAGCATCCTCATAGGAAGCCGCATGAACTAATCCCTTGAGAACAGTATTATAGGTCACAACCGATGGATTAATTCCTTCCCTTAACATCTCCTCACAAAGCATAAAAGCTTTGCTAATTTGCTCTTCTCTGCAGTATCCATCTAACATCGTGTTATAGCTATACAAATCCGGCCTTAGATTCCAATCCACCATTTCCCTAAACACTTGCTCACCTTTCCAAACCTGACCGTGCTTACAATACCCATTAACCAAGGAGTTACAAATGAACAAATTCATCTTCAACCCTGCCGTCAACATCTCATCTCGAATCCTAACCGCATCATCCATTCTCCCCATTTGACAATAGCCACCCACCAGCACACCATAAACACGCTCATCCACAACAATCAACTCATCTTCCTCCATATCCCGAAGCAACTTCTCGGCTTCATCCATCCGGCATTGTTTACAATAACCTTTCAACAACAAAGTGCAAGTAACCACATTCCTCAAAACCCCTCTTTGGGACATCAAACCCAACACCCTCTCAGCAGCTTCCACATCCCCCTTGCAAACATACCCATTAATCAAAGCATTGTAAGTCACAACATTAACCTCAAACCCCATCTTCTCCATCTTTTCCATAAACACCACAGCCATATCCACTCTCCCCAATTGACAATGCGCATTCACAACAATGCTACACATATAAACATCAGGCACAATCCCCATTCTCTCAATCTGCTCGAAAACCATCACCGCGGTCATTGATTCACCCTTGTTAACCAACTTCCCCAACAAGCAATTGCAGGACCTCAAACTCGGGCTCCGACCCAACCTTCCCATTTCGTCGAACACGTGCAGTGCATGCTTAGTCATCCCTTTTTCCGCGAAAACCTTGAGAACCATGTCGAAAACCGTGGCCGAAAACCCAAACTCTTTGTAAACGCTAACTATCTGATCACAAACGGCGAAGGCGCGGTAATTGTTGGTGCAGTGAAGGGTCACGAGCTGGTGCAAAAACGACCTCGTTTCAGGGTACATTCGGGCTCGGGCGAGGATGTGGAGGAGGATGCAGTAGGAGTGGGAGTGGGGGCGGTAGGTTTGGTGATTGGAGGCGAGATGGAAGAAGGCGAGGGAGGCGGTGGGGTTGAGGCGGAGGCGGCGGAGGAGGGCGTCGGTGAGGTGGTCGGAGAAATGGAAGGAGAGGCGGTTGAGGGCGTGGTAACGGTGGAGGATGAGAAGGCGAGAGATTCGGTCGAGGAGTTCGGGTTCGGGGAGTTTTGATTCTTCTCGAAGCTTCCATTGGAGGTGAGGAGTGAGGTGAAAAGATTTGTGTTGGGGGAGAGAAAGTGCAGCTAGATTGGGTTTGCGAAGGAAACGAAACATTTGGACCAACATTACTTGGCAAGTGCCAATTCCATGTTTACTGAGATTAACGTTGAATCTATGATCTTACATATACTAGAATAGGTAATTAACATGTCCATAACTCCATATCAATGACTGAGAAAAAATATATATAAAAATGAAAAATTACAAGATTATTACAGTTAATTTAATTATTAATGATTAAAATTCTTTCATATCACATAGTCACATTGATCCATTTCCACTAGAATATCAACATTTTCACAACCTACCTTATATGGTAATGGCATTAGAAGGATTATGTTTTTGTCGTATGTCCTAAATGGCATTTAAAATTTCCCCTCAACATTAGAAAATAGAAATCCACATTAAAAAGGGAAGGACTGTGTTTTGCTCTTTATGTAATGAGGCCGGAACAACAAAAGAGGAAGAGGTTAGAGGGATGGGGGGAATTATATTAGGAGTGGAGAGGGAAATATTCCAAGTTTTTTTTTAAAGAAGATTTAATTCGGAGCGGTTTTTCTAATATTATTTTTTTCATTCTCAAACTCGAAAGTACTTGTCCTTTGAATTGTCAGTTATTAATTTTAGGGAAAAAATTAAGAAAAATTATAATTTAAACAGACATGGCACTGAGTTATGAGTACTAAAAATATTTTTCCCTTGCAGAGCATGTGATTCCTTTTCAATGTCACAAATCGGGATATAAATGAGTTAAGTCGGCCTACAAAGGCCTATTATCTTACCTATATTAGACTAGACTAGACTTGACTTATTAATAATAGTCAAATAAAACAGATCTAAATTTTAAAAAAAATTAATTAAAAAACAGATCATAAATTTTTTTTGTACATGTCGGACCTATAAGTCTACAGGTCGGCCTATATCATATTATTTATATTAAATAAAATTATTATTTTAATAATTTTGAATAATAAAGTAATATTATTTTAATTATTGAATGTTTAATAGGCTTAAACAAGCTAACCGGCTTAGACCAAAATTTTTATTTTTTATATATAGGCCAAACCAGACTTGTAATATGACCTACGCATGCTAAAAAGTCAGGCCAATCTTGAGAACTTTTACACATGCCTAATTTATTTAAATTAAAGTCTAGCCTACAATAGCCTATTTAAATTCCTAGTTGTGAATCTTCTCTCGTTACAAAAATATTTAAATATGTACTATTTATCATAAACAGCCAATCAAATTTCAGCAATAGGTGAGACCTACCAGGTCTCATGCAATATAAAGACAGTTTCCTTAACTCAGTTCATTTTCCCATGTCATTCTTTTCTTCTTATAGCTGCAGTTATCTGAAACGTATTGTGCATCTTGTAGGACCCTTCTCTTCTACTTATCTTGATAGATACGGCATTCTAGGATCCCCTCCCTAGCTCTCTTCACAAATTCATAGCTTGATAGGTGGGCATTGTAGGATCCCTCTCTTCACAACTTCATTGCTTGATAGACACATAACTGCAAGTATCCTCTTAATGCAGCCAAGTGGCCATATTCTCTTACATATAGCCTTTTAACCCACACGGGTTCTTCAATTTTCTCATTTTTACCGAACTAACGGAAGTTCACATTGAAGGTAGTAGCAATCAAGCGTGATAACCACGATTCCACGAATAGTTTGAATCTCTCCAAAGGATTCTTTTTGGAATCGAGCGCTAATAGCCTTTAGCATCTAAAATATTCCTTGGTGCTAAGTAGAGGTGGCAAAGAGTGCAGTCTGTTTCGTCCCGCTATCAATCCGTCAAGAAACTAGACAGTCCTTCTTGCTCTACTTTTGAGAATGAGCTGAAAAACTCGGCCCGTCCCATTTGACGGGCAAGGCGGGTTGGCTCACTGGCTTGACACTGACTCGTCCCGTCCCTTCCCGCCATCAACCTGCTAAAAAACGAGTCAGCTCGACCCACCCCTCTTTTGAAAGTGATCGGTAAAACTTAGCCCATCTCGCCAAACCGAACATGTTTTGCTGCGCCTAGTGCTGAAATACACCCGTAATGTGAACAAAGATTATCTTATATGATTACAATATCAACTTTGTCACAACCGAGCTTATATCAGTACCGTGGCTAGCATTAGAATCGAATGAACATGAACATTTGACTTACCAGTTCAGAACCTGTTGATATTGCCTGGTGCAAATCTCATGGAAATCATAACACACTACCATACATCTCGTAGTCTCACATGTTCTTACTAGTTGACCACGAACTCTCTAAAAAAACCCTGTAAAGGCAACCATAGCACATAATTAATTCGACATTACCTATAATTGCAGCAATTAAAGATGGCTTACTTTTTTCTTTCTTTCTTTTTTTCCTCTCTGGTTCAACAAAAACAAAATTCGTAAACAAAACTCAAAAGAACTTAAATTTGATTAATTTAAGTAGAAATCATCAAACGCTTGCCACATTTTGGAAGTTAGAGAGAAAATATTTGAAAAGAAATATATGCTAAAATTAAATAATTAATGGAGGAGATCAAGCTAGCTATATGATCAACTAGATCAGATCTTAATTTGGAACTCAAATCAATATTACTGGTCACTAGTGACATGCCTCAAATCTCGAGGGCATGAGATCCACTCAATGAATTACCTTCTAATTCTAGATACTTATTTAAGATTTTCCCGGACACGGATCAAGGATTTTTTATAATAGGGAGAACAAATATCAAATTACAAGTGTTATTAATTAAGACTAATAGGAGGGACTAATTATTATAAGTGTTGTTGAGAAATGTAAGATCCAAATTAAGTGTGGCTTTAGGTGACATGATCCACAGTTCAGAGCCTATCCTTGATCAAAATCGACCTAGTTTCCTCTCTTAATACACTCTTAAAAAGAGGAGAAAAAAATCATATTTTATGGTTATCTTGATTTTTTTAACCTAAGAGATTAGTTTAGTGTAACACAAACATGCAACGGTGTATATAATCCAAGCACAATGAAATTTTATATGGAAAAGCATCCCTCATTTCTAGATCATGACTTAACTTGGAAGACATACGAATTGAAAACAACTAGTACAAACATTTAAAATTTTGAAAATCTAACATATCATAATTACAAATTTAGAATGCCACCGTAGTACACTCAATATTCTTGATCCACGAGATCTTACGTTTTGTTTAAAACAAAGGGAAAAGGAAAAATGGGCAGCAAACACCTCCAGTTTGAGACACATAGAATTTATAAGAATAAAATTAAAGCATGGAGACAAGGTAACTTAAGAAAGACATATTCAAGCCAAGGTCTTGTTGGAGAAGGCAGCAACGGTACACCTAGAGAATTCCCCAAAAAGGAAACATAGTTCCTAAGTATTCCACGGGAAGTATTTATTCATACGAAAAGAAAACGGCTTGTGTTCATACGTATAAGGGTAGATGAATAGAAGGGAGACAGTATTGTTCTTTACAAACCCTAAAAGGCAAAAAGGTACAAAACCACAGCTTATCAACTTTAGCTTTTGGCTCAGTCCCATGAAACAGTGGAAAAGAAGCACAAAAGTGCAAGGACATGGCGCAGGTACCACCATCTAATTAATTATATATATTTCAGCTCCTATGTATCAGATTTAATTCTAAGCAGATCACCCTTTTGCCTTTTACCGGCATGCACCTTTTTCTTCTTTTTTTGAACCTTCTCTTGCTTGCTAATTTCAACTATCCAATACCTCCTTTCTCAAGTTTTCTTATATTCTTTCTTCTCTCTTTGATCCAAGAAAGTTATGATTCTCAAGTTTTCATAATATATACAAACCATGTAGACTAAAAAGATAAAATTCTCCTTCACAAGAATACCGTATGCGCTTCTCTTGTTTAATAAATCTAAGCTTCTCAAACATTGCTCAGAACCTAAAAAGAAAAATCACAAGCCAAGCATAGAAGCCAACCTGAAGATATGGGAGATAGAAGTTGGCACCTTGTGTTATTCTCGTTGTGTATTTTCTTCAGTTCAGGTGACTTAATTTTTGTTGGAACTCTTTGGTCCTTTTACCTATGATATATATAGATATGTTCTCTTAGTTACATGCATTGCTTGACAACCAAAATGTGCTTGAGGTGTATGACCAAGATATAGAGCCACACAAGCTGACCATTAGTAAAGAGTAGCAATGTTTGATTAGAAAAATACAACATTGAAGTCACGAAGAACTGTAAAGTTGTGCACAGAATTCATCAATAGCCAAATGATCAAAGTTAATCTTCAGGCATGAATGATGATATTTTCCCATTCCACGATCATAGCCACATAAACTTTAAGAATCAGTTGCGATGAACCGGATCAGGTTGAATGTGGATGAACTTACAGTAGCTCTAGGAAGGAATATATAACTCATAAAACATGCATGAAAAACTATTCATTGAATGGCACAGAAACCACATCAGTTCATCCATGCTCTGCCTGCCACCTTGGGAGCAATCACAGAAGAAATTTGGGTTAATTTATTCAGGTTTACTAGTTCAATTTCAGCAAATTCTTTTCACTTGTCTTGCTGAAGAGTATTAGTTTCTTTTACAGGTCTAGGAACAGCCATAACATTAAGAGAAGAAGAAAAGCAAGAAATCTCATCATATGAATTTAGTACTAAATTGGATGCAGTTCCTATCGTCAACCCTACAACTCCAGGCACAGCAAATCCATATCCTACGATAAACCCAACATCTCCTCAAACACCTGACACAATAGGGCAAACCCCATCATCCCCCACAACCCCATATACAAACCCTACAACCCCCACAAACCCATACACAAACCCTACAACCCCCACAAATCCATATGCAAACCCTACAACCCCCACAAACCCATATGCAAACCCTACAACCCCCACAAACCCATACACAAACCCTACCACCCCCACAAACCCATACACAAACCCTACAACCCCAACTACAACTCCAGCCAGTCCAACTGCAACTCCTACAACCCCAACCACACCCACTCCTGCATCAGCAGGTGGTCAATGGTGTGTGGCAAGCCAATCAGCTCAAGACAGCACTCTAAAGGTGGCTCTTGATTATGCTTGTGGGTATGGTGCAGACTGTTCAGCAATTCAACCAGAAGGAAGTTGTTATAACCCAAATACTCTGAAAGACCATGCTTCCTATGCATTCAATGACTACTACCAGAAGAATCCAGCACCTACGAGCTGTGCATTTGGGGGAACAGCAACACTTACAAACAAAGATCCAAGTAAGACTTTCATAAATATTACAGCCTTGGTACCTCCTCTTAATCATTGAGCACAAAAAGAAAATATAAATTATTTTTTGTGTGTCTTAATATTAGATAAGTGAAATTTTTCACTCGAAATAATCAAGGCAATAACATGTTGGTAGTCCAGAAATTATGTCGTAGCCTTACCTTACCTGATAAGCATCACATCCCAATACATATGCATACCTTTCGGTAAAAAAAAAAAAAAAAGACATGCATTTTTTATGCAGAATTTATCAAACACATAAATAAGGAAGGAGGGGTCCCTCCTATGCAACACAATAGTTTGGGTATCCTCTCCCACGTTTCTAAGTCAAATATAACTTTTTCATGCTAGCAATCTCTGGCAGCTTTCCATTCAACCACAACTTATATGATGCTTCGTCTAATTCAGACCTTTTTATTTAACATATATATAATTATAAATTCAAACAATCTATACCAAATATCTAGCCTTACCCATATCTAAGACTTCCAAATTTCTACATCCCACATATGGTACCAGGTCAGGAACTCATAATTGCATGAGTGAAATATAGCTTCAAGGCATCACTTGATGTCATTTCATAGAATCTTATGGGTTAAATTTAATCTCCCATCAAGTTATTTGACTTGCTTTCAACGTGCTTCCATGTGGTTCGAACCTTGTTACTTTACCCTTTGTAGTTTGTTCTGTTAACATATGACCACAATATATTCTAAACAAAAATAACATGTGAACGACAAACCTCAAAGGGGAAGAGTAACAAAATTCAAACCACAAGGTGGAAAACTAAATTTAACCCTTTATTTATTTATGAACAGAATAATACCCTTCCATCAAACCCACTCCAGTCATATATCTCTTTCAGTAGCTGATCAAGGTCCAGTCCCTGACTATTGAATCCCTTTGTCAGTAACAGATGAATCTCATGAAAAATTCTCCTCTTTTTTTTTTTTTGTATATAAAAATTCTCCTCTTTAGCATACATAGTTTATCACAAAATTAATTCATACCAATGTCAAAATTCATGACTCCAGGGATAATGAGCTTCCTTTACCTACTTCAGATTTGGGATTATACTGTCAAATTGTCAATAAAATCCTACTATATCATGTCTGTTACATGATCTTCTCTACATTGTTTCAGGTAATGGGAACTGCCACTATACATCATCCAAATCACCAAGGTGAGAATTTGCAACACCTATATCTTATTCACTATATTATGAATAAAACATGATATGTTAATCCTACACACTCTAATATACATTGTCCATGCAGAATGAGTACACCAACATCTGTAAGCCCACCGAATCCACCAAGTACTATGACCCCAACTACACCAAGTTCGACAATTCCTGGAACACCAAGCATGACAATTCCTGATGGAACATCGGTCTATGGTGCACCACCGACAGGAAACCCCAATATAGCCACATCTGCTTCTCATTCGATAATGCTGCTACTTACTTCATTTGGCCTCTGGGTATCACTTCATGTAGAAAATTACATCTAGACTAAAAACATGGTTCAGTGATTTGTTATGTGATAGGCTACAATTCACTCAGTCTTCCAGCAGCTTTTGCAAGACTTCAAGGAGGCAGAGTCAACAATGCCATACTTGTCATCTGAATTCTAGCCATTAAAATTATACTACCTTACATAAATGTATCCCCTTAGAAAGTGGTAGAGTTAAAGAGATTTATAGGTTCTTTTAGACAGTTTTTCTACAGCAATAGCATAGCACAATAAATTATTACATTATCTACTTCCACAGATAATCCCTGAAACAAAATGTCAGCAATACTCAGAAGGCTACTTCAGATAAATCTACCTTATCCACAATAGTTGTATATAAACATATGATTGATGATATTAGTTGCAATCATCTCGACAGAAACACACAAAATTTAATGCAACAGATAAGATAGAAGCTAGCTTTTAAGTAAAACCTATTTACACTTGCCCCAGTTCAAGTGTAATACTCATTTATTTTATCATATTTTTCAAAATGATTTAAACAAAAATTTGTTAAGCCCTAAGCAATAAATAGTGTTGGGTATTTCTTCATTTCAAATTCTAAGAAATAGACTATACCAAACAGATTCCAAACTAATCAGAATAAAGATGAAAATACCTTACAATTTCTTTGTTAACTATACATTCTAACACTAGTAATTCCACAAAGAAAGTACATATCTTCCTATTTCTGCACCAAAAGAGTAAAGATATTTTTACATCAAAACGATATCTGCAAACAACTCAGCTTTTAAACTCTTGTATAAATATTAAACATAAACTCCAATAACCCAATCAACGTTGAGATTACAGCACCTTCTTTTGTTCCCCATGTTACGAGTAGCATAACCGAAACCCCAGCTTTTATCGACTTCGCAATTCATTCACATTCATTCCTCCTTCAGGTTGAAGGAGTAAGAGACTAGAAACCAAACTTTTTGGACACTTTATGGGCCAAGCGAGGAGTTCAAAGGCCGAAATGGGCCAGAACCCAGATTGTAAAGGCCCAAATGAAGCCCAACGAGAGGTGTGCCCGCATATGATGCTCAACTTGCGAAACGACAAGTATTACGCATCGATGACGTCATCCACTTTATGCTGATGTTGAAACTAAGCTCCCAACTTGGACTTCTTGCTTGCGTGTACAACAGGGTTTGATGTTTACGCCCTTTCTTCTTTTTTGAGTGAAGACCCAAATAGATTCCTCACAAAAAATTCGATGCTCAAATTAGTTCCTTACAAAAATAAACTCGATAAATAGTCTCCAACAAAGTGAAACAGTATCCACGTTAGTCCTTCTGTCAATCCAAAACTGATGGTGATGATGTGTAACGTCAAGTGACATGCTGAAGGTCACGTGGGTTGAGGAACGACGCCGTTTTGAGAGTCTCATACACCTTGGACAGACCATTTTTTATTAAACCCAAAATTGTCCCTCACCTAACCGTTGGACACTTTACCATTTCCCTCTCTTCTAACTTAGACGCTCCATTGTTGAGAAGGAAGAAAGAAGACCGTGGAGTAAACACTCGCCTGCGTTTGGAATACTACGAACTTCTTCAACAATCGGAGGGAACCAGTGGAAGACAAAGAGAACTTGGGTTTAGGGTTTGGCTGAGCCTTCCGTACAAAAAGGTAAGAGTATTTATATGTTGAAACATTTTTATATTGTTCTTTGTCATCCTTTTGCTTGTGGTCCCCATGTTGTTCCCCTTTGTTTAGAAGTGGACATTGTGGTCCATGTTTCCATTTAGGGTTTTGTGTTAAAGATTGTAACTACCGAGGTGGTGCGGTTCCTGTTTTAGAAAAAGGGACCATGGTTGACCCAGTATCAATTAAAAACCCCATGGTAATATATGGAAAAAAAGTCAGCATCCATAAAAAATGTTGGTTTAGGGTATTGCTTTGTATTGTTTAAGTAGTCTACAGTCTGTGGTCGTGGGATTAATGATAGGTTTGTTTTTTTGGTTTTGACAGATGTCCGAATACATAGTGATTGTTTATCATCATGGTGGTATTTTAGTCAGAGATGAAGATGGAGTGATGACCTATATCCATGGAATGGTGGACTCATTGCCAGAGATGGACATTGACTACTGCAATATCTGTGACCTTGACACCCTGCTTAAGCAATATGGGTATGAAAAATGCAAGAGGATGATGTGGCTACAGCCTGGGGTACCCGATTTGGAACAAGGGCTCAAACCTCTTAGTACAGATTCAGATGTGTGTTCCATGTGTGAGGCTACTTTAGGGAATGGCAATGAGATACATGTCTACTTTGAGGGTTGCATCTCAATTCCCGAGTTTGCTTCACCTCAACATGGCAGTGAAGAGGATAATGTCATTAATTCAGCACATAATGAGGACCATGAAGAGGTTGATGATGGGGTCAATTCACATGAAGGGTGTGCTCAAGGTGATGATGGGGTCAAAGAAAATGAAGACCATGCACAGGCTGCTGATGACCTGAATTTACATGATGGGATCAAAGAAAATGAAGACAATGCATAGGCTGCTGATGGCTTGAATTTACATGATGATGGGATCAATTCGGACCATGATGAAGAAAGTGCAGAGGATGCAGGTAATGGTTCTGAAGATGATAGTGCAGATGATGACCATGCTTCCTCACACTCAGATTCATATGAGAGTGTAGAGGATGAGGATTACAAGCCTCCCCCACCTGGTGTTGAGGATAATTCAGAAGATGATGATGAGGTCAATGTGCCATTGGTAGAGAAAAAAGGCCTGCAAAACAGACCCCAATGAGGAAGGCAGTCAAGAAGGATGCCCCAATTCAAGACTCTGAATCTGAAGAAGTTGATGAAGAGGAAGACATAATGTCATTTGAGGAAGGGGGATATACCTATCTGTCTAAGGAGTTGAGGACTCCTCCTTCAAGTGATGATGATGACAATGCTAGACCTGTTTTGCCTAAGTTTAATGAACAAGCTTCTTTTGGGCATGTATATTTAGAACTTGGTATGGAGTTTATGAATCTGAACCAATTTAAGTGTGCAGTAAAAGATTATAATATCAGTCTTGGGAGGAACTTCATCTGGGTTAAGAATGACAAGGTCAGAGTAAGGGTCAAATGCAGTGTAAAAGACTGTGAATGGATGGTGTATTGTGCCTGGAACACCAAGCAAAGCACATTCCAAGTTAAAAAATTTAACGACACTCATACATGCTGCAGAGTCTTCAAGAATAAAAGGGCTACACGAGATTGGGTAGCCAAGAAATTGGAGAAGAGAATACTAACACAGCCCAAGATGACCAGGACAGAGGCATTTGAGCACATGAAGGAGGAATACAATGTTCATTTGGATATGAAGAAAGTAAGCACGGCTTTGAAAAAAGCAAAGGGAACCATTGAAGGTTGTGAGAAGGAACAATATGGAAGACTAAGAGAATATCTGGCTGAGCTGTTGAGGAGCAACCCTGGCTCCAGTTGCAAATTGCAAGTCACCCCCCTACCTATTCCACAAGCATTGCCAATATTTGACCGAATGTACATCTGCCTTGATGCTTGTAAGAAGGGCTTCAAAGCTGGATGCAGGCCCTTAATTGGGTTGGATGGTTTCTTTTTGAAGGGCTATTATGGAGGTCAATTATTGAGTGTTGTGGGTGAAGATGCAAACAAACAATTTTATGTGATTGCCTATGCCGTGGTTGATAGTGAGACAAAGGATAATTGGAAGTGGTTTTTGACCTTATTACAGGAAGATTTAGGGGATCATGGAGTATTTGGTTGGAACTTCATATCAGATCAACAAAAGGTAAGGCTTTTTTTCTTGTGCTTATTACAACAACCTTTTTTTGCTTTTTTGACCTTATGCTTGTGCTTCCATTCATTTCACATCAATGACAGCAATGACAAAAACCAGAAATGTATGTATATAGTGATGATTGTTATGAAATGAATGGAAGATTGTGTTGGTCTTCATGACTGTATTCAATGCTTAAATTTTTAAATGTTGCTCCAAACTATGTATCTACTTATACACTTTCTGGTTTTTGTCAACAATGGTATGTTTGTTCTGTTTGCTTTGTCCATTTACGGGTCATGTGTTGCTTAACTGCAATTGCCATCCATCTGCTTTTTAAGTTCCCTTACAAGTCCTCCACAATGTTTATCGAGGATCATTTCAGTCCTTGTTTTTTAACAGAGGGGACCATTTTGGTCCCTCACAATTTTATCAGGGTCCTTATTGGTCCCTACTACAGTTCTGTTAACACCAGTGCCACCATGGGCACTTACCACACCAGCAATGTCATGTCCCCTTGTACATGCTGATATTAGTCATGCTAATATTTATTTCACATTATGTTCATATGAGATTGTGTTTTAACTTTTTGTTTCACCTTCACACACAGGGACTTGTCCTAGCCTTGAAGGAAATTATGCCAGGTTCACACCACAGGTTCTGTGTATAACATGTATGGAAGAACTTCATCAAGCAATGGAAGGATAAAGAGACAAGAGGCATTGTGTGGGAATGTGCTAGATGCACCACTGTTCCCCAATTTGAGAAGGTCATGCTAAAGCTGAAGACTCTAAACGAACCAGCTTGGAAGTATCTTGACAATATACACCTTTCATGTTGGGTTAAGGCCTACTACAGTCACTGGCCTAAATGTGACAATATAACGAATAATATGGCTGAGGTGTGGAATGCAAAGATTGTAAATTATAGGTCCAAACCTATAATGACATTATGTGAGGAATTGAGGTGCTACATAATGCGAAGGATGACAGCACACAAGAGGATTCTACAAACCTTTAGGGGTAAGATTGCACCTGCACAACAGAAGAGGCTGGACCAGTTGAAGGTTGCAAACAATTCTTGGACACCAACATGGACTGGAAACTTGGTCCAAGAACTGTATGAAGTATCTGGAAAGGGTCAACGTGTTGGGGTGAATTTAACTCAACAATCTTGTAGCTGTAATGTTTGGCAGTTGACTGGATTGCCTTGTGAACATGCCATTGTTGCCATTGCACACAAGAATGAACCTGTGGAAAATCATGTTCACCAATGGCTGACAGTGGATGCTTTGCATGCCACTTATGAACACACACTTAACCCAGTCAATTCCCAACAATATTGGCCAGCTTGTGATGCCCCAAAACCACTTCCTCCACGCTTGAAAAGGCCTATTGGACGTCCAAAAAAGCATCGCAAGAAGGATCCCACTGAAGAGCTTATGAAGACCAACAACAAGCTTTGAAAAACTTACACAGTTCAATGCTCCAAGTGTGGTGAGACTGGTCATTACCCGAAGACATGTAAGGGACCTACTGGTGGCTCAAAGTCAAAGACAAAACCGATTAATGTTGAAGTAGGCCAGTCAAGGAAAGTTGAAGAAATCATCATTAGCATAAGTCAGGGCTGCCCTGCACCAGAGACAAGTAGCCAGCATGCAACAACTACAGTTGAACCAAGAGCTTCAAGAGGTAGCAGCCCACCTCCATGCACTCCTGCTGAGGTAGTGACCAGTGAGACAGCAGCTGCAGCTGGCAGTGGCACCAGAGCCAGATTCATGAGCTTCATGTCTACACCAGGATTCAGGCCACCTAGGCCAGCCCCACATAACTGATTTCGAATTGTAATCACTGATGTTAGGCCAGTTCAAATGTGACAGTTGGCATTTTTTTGTTATTAGGCCAGTAGCTTGGAATTGTAATTAGGCCATCTTTTTGGTATTAGTTTGGTTTTGGCCCTGTTCAAATGATTCACCAATGGCTTTTTTTGTATGCCTCTGGTTATGGCCATATTAAGTATGAACACTTTGTTTTTTGGGAAGACAAAGTGTTCCTACTTAATGGTTTATTATGTCAGCTGGAATTGTAAGTACAAAGTGATGATATGAATGGAATATATTTTTTGGATTACTATATCTCTTATGTAATTACTATTTTTCATTGTTGTCATTGTTGTGAAATGAATGGAAGATTATGTCAGTTTGGTTACTATCTGTCTTCACTGTCATGACTGTATTGAATGCTGCAATTTTTAAATATTGGTCCAAACCATCTATCTGCTGATACACTTTCTGGTTTTTGTCAACAATGGTATGTTTGTTCTGTTTGCTTTGTCCATTTGCGGGTCATGTGTTGCTTAACTGCACTTATCATCCATCTGCTTTTTAAGGTCCCTTATAAATCCTCAACATTTTTTATCGAGGACCTATTTAGTCCTTGGTTTTTAACGAAGGGGACCAATATAGTCCCTCACAATTTTATCGGGGTTCTTTTTAGTCCCTGCTAAAGTTCTTTTAACACCAGTGCCACCATCTGCTATTAACAAACCAGCAATGTCATTTCCCCTTGTACATGCTGATATTAGTCATGCCTAACACAATCAACTTCTGCATAATTCACCCATCACATTCTTAGTTTAGTCTTTATACATTGTTTCCATTCAAATCTCAACAGCAGCAAATCTCAACAGAACCACATTTTTTATACAATCAAAGTTTGCATAATTCATTACACAGCAAATCTTTATACAATAAACTTCTGCATAATTCATAATATAAAATATGCATACTACTTGCAAATTTTCCATTCAAGTCTTTATACAATCAACTTCTGCATAATTCATTACACCAGCAAATCTCAACAGAACCACATTTTTTATTTCACTCCAACCTCCTTGCAAGATATATACATACTAGAAACACAACAATAATGGATCCAGCAAACACCCTAGCACACCTACACACTTGCATCATTTCCTTCTCAACCCTTTCAAAGTCTGCTTGCATCTTCATTGATATGTCTTCAATCTTTATACAATGCTCATTAATCTTATTTTTGTGGTCATTCACCTCCAGCTGCAGTTCCTCATTGACCTTCATGTCCAAAAAGTTCAACTCCATTTCAGCTACATTCAACTCCAGCTTGTTAATTGTCCAATCTTCCAGCTCCATGGTATCAGATGTAGCATCATCCACCCATGTAAAAAAGTTACAGTGTGGCTTCTTTTCCTAAACCAAATTTAACTATACAGTTAATAACATTAACATTACAAAAATAACGCATGAAAAAATCAACCTCACCTTGAAGTTGGGGCACCCAAAAAATGATCTGTTAGGGTTTCTAGGTGTCTTGGAGGTGTAAACAACATTGTGCCTCCCACATTTACACAATGGAGCAGCTATCATTCTTACACTTCTGGACCCAAATGAACTACTTGAGCTCCCTCTTCCAGAAGAGATATTCATGTCATAAAAACTAAGAACAACCTTAAATCGTACAATATAAACCCACCTTCACAATATCGTCAATCAATTCTCCCCAAATTCATGTGTTCAATCTTCGATTCAATGTCATGCTTTCTGGTTTAAGATTGAACCCTAACAAACAAACGACGACGTTCCTTGGATGAAAGAGAACAGGTCTGTCCAAGGTGTATGAGACTCTCAAAACAACATCGTTCCTCAACCCACGTGGCCTTCAGCATGTCACTTAACGTGACACATCATCACCGTCAGTTTTGGATTGACAGAAGGACTAACGTGGATCCTGTTTCACTTTGTTGGGGACTATTTAACGAGTTTATTTTTGTGAGGGACTAATTTGGACACCGAGTTTTTTGTCAGGGACCAATTTGGGTTTTTACTCTCTCTTTTTTTTTAGAGTAAACACCATTTTTAGTCCCTGACAATATTTACGAAGTCCTTTTCAGTCCCTGGCAATAAAAAAGGACCAAATTGGTCCCTGAAAGTACAAGAAAAGGGCCACTCTACATATTTGGGAGTTGACATAAGGACTAACATGATCCTTTTTATGTAATTTCAGGGTCCAATTTGGTCCTTTTTTATTGCCCAGGACTAAAAAGGACTTCGTAGATATTGACAGAGACTAAAAATGGTGTTTACTTTTTTTTTAATTCTCTAAGTTGGCTTATACAGGAATCTATATCTTTTTAAGATTTATGGTGGTGTTTAGCTTTCCATAAATCAATGGCATGCTCGCGTCTAACATGGTGCAATTTCGCCAATCATGCAGTAATCCTTGTCAACAGCTTAAAAGGGTTCATAGATCCTACCAAACCAAAATTATGGAACCCAGCTCATTCAAATAAAAAACCTCATTTCCAACATGTGAAATATTTTACAAATTACTATTCCGGAACCAAATTATTTTTTCTTTTTTTGGGTAAACAACCAAATTCTTTTTAAATTACTCTGCTCATTGTTTTAAGTTTTCTGTACACCAGGTCACGCACTTGATTTGTAACCCCTAAGATAAAAATAAAAATATTAGAAAACTTTGGAAGCTTGAGGAGTTGTAGTTTTGTTTACACTTTTTTTTATTTTTTGGGGTTCATTTTCTGTTTTCTAATATATATATGTTCGGTGCAGTAGTTGTCGGAGATTTGACGCCAATTAGACAGAAATCCGAGACGACAAAACCAACAAACAGACCGACCCCATCCATCACCCATCGTTATCGTCGAAACAGAGCAGTGTCCACAACATTATGGTCCCTTTCTCCTCTTCACAACACAAACTCATAATCAGCAGAACCAAAAAAATACCTAACTCCTCAGTCTCATCGCATTCTAGTAGAGTAGTAGTTACACAATTACTTGAGCGGTTAACGTTGCTCACTCTATCCTTTTCTACCAAACTGCCAGACATTTTAGGCCATGGCTGTCCCAACCTTCACTCCTACACTTTTTTTCCACTTATTTCTGATTCAATTAATCTGATCGAACCCGGCAGATATATATATATATATGAGCGAAAAAAAAAATTATTATTAAATTGTTAATAGAATTTTATATCATTAATTTTTAATAGAATTACAGGACTCAAATTTAGAATTGAAATAATTAATTACGTGCTTGATTTTTTTTATTTTTTTTATACAAAGGTTGGCACTAGATTCGAATCGAGATTCGATCTATAATATCATGTTGTAGCCTATCGAAATACCTTGATCAATCCTAATGACTTCGCTTGATGGTTCCTTTTAAATAAAATTCATTACTTAAAAAAAAAAAAAACAGTTCCATTCTATCAGTCATTAAAATAATTTCCAATTTCCACTGAAACCTAAAAAGAGTAGACAATTAAAATTAAAAAAGGCAAAATCAAAATACGAAGGAAGAGGATACTGATTTACGTAATTTACAATTAAAATTTTTACAACGCCAAAATTTCTCTGTGAAATCTAAATTGAAAAGAAGATAAAAAGAGAAAAAAAAAAAAAAAAAAAAAAGATAACAGTTACACTAATCCATTCGGACCTCACTCATCATCAACATAACCATGTTTCAGCCGTAACGTGCGCGGCGCATGTTAGCAACCAAAGCATCTAATCCATGTCCCAGTCACAATCCGAATTCTCGGGCTCGGGTATCTTATTAAGGTCAACCCGTACCGCAAATTCCCCAGCGGCGGCGGCGCGTGTGGCGGAAGCATGTGGAAGCTGGCGGTGGAGGGTGGCCTGGAGGGCATCGACTCTGGCACCGACCTCCGTGGCTTTCTTCCTAACAGAAGCTGCGGACATGTCGCAACTGGTAGCGCCACCTTCTCCGGCTAGAAGCTCGGGGAAGTTAAGGCGAGCGGATGGTCCCCGGAGATAGAAGAGGGCGGTGTCGTAAGCACGCGCCGCAGCAACGGGAGTGGAATAAGAACCGAGCCAAATCCGAGAACGCTTGTTGGGTTCTCGAATCTCAGCGACCCACTTGCCCCACTTCCTCATCCTGATACCTTTGTACCTTGTTTGACCCTCTGACTCTGTCCCTCTCTTCCTTGTGGTTCCTCCTTCACCATCACCTTCCATCTCTGCAAAAACCAAACACTCTCTCTCTCTCTCTCTCTCTCTCCCAATCAAAGAGCGAGAGAGTGAGTCTTCATGAGAATTACAAATTCAAAAGGGGTATTGTAATGTGGGGTTTCGGTGAGACACGAATGCTACTCAGACTCGTGTGACTTGACCACTCACCTTTGTCTTCTGCGTAAAACATCCACGTCGGTATCTTCGAACCCTGTTCTGTTTTATACCAAATTAATTCTAACTGCTTAATTAAAAAAAAAAAAAAAAAAAAACCCTCACCGACAAGCTTCTCACGCCTCTTCCTTTCCTTAATGGGATCTTAGGAAAAATAATATTTCTTAAGAATAAAGTTTTTGAGCGATAAATTTATTTTTTTTGAAAAATTCTTTAGATGAATTTCTTATGTGATTAATTGTCACTAATTGGCTCAATCAATATAAATATTTGTTCAGACTCTTGTCTTTCCCTAATAAAAATGGTGAGGAAAATGTGAGGGTTGCCATGATAATTTAAACTTTTATCATATCTTAGGTGAGTTGACAAATATTTGGAGTTAATATTCAAATTACTCAAGTTATGTTAGTTCTTCAAAATTTATAAATATCAATTTGGTTTCTCAAAATTCGAAATGAATATTGATTTAGCTTCTTCTTTTTTTGGTAATCTATTGATTTAGCTTTTAATGTATATGTTTTACATTCAAAATAGTGTAAAATTTATTTAATATACTAACTAAATGTTTTGTATACCTTTTGAACTGATTTGAATATTTATTTCAAATACTTATTGGTTACTATTTTTTTACAATATTTACCGTCAATGTGCAACTATAATTAACGATTGATCACTGAGTGTTGCTTAGTTGCTATCAATATTAAGTAAGCCTCAGATATTCTTAAGGCCAGCTATAAAGAATCTTTTGAGCTTAAAGCGTGGATTATTATATAGGCTCAATTTTTGGTTTACTTTATGTTTATTTAATTCCACAAGTGAAGGGCGGTGAGGATCGAACTCGTGACCTTGTGGTCACTGAAGCTCTGATACCATGTAAAGAATCACTTCAACCCAAAACATTAAGGTGTTGGGTGAGATTATATTATTCTCTAATAATACACCATGGAAAACACTTGAGTATGTATTAGTTGAAAACTAAAAAAATATAAAATTCATTAGAGGGAAAAAATAATTAAAATAGTAGTAAACAAAGTTCCTACTGGATGAGTATTAAGTGAATGTCATGATAACATTGCCAAGTTAGAGTAAACAAAAAAGAAAAACAGTGAAGTAAAAGTAATGTCATATACTTATAAAAAGATTTTCAGATAACTTTTATCATTACTATATATCTACTTCTTTTTCTCTTTTCTTTCTCTATCTTTTGGGAGTTATGTAATTATTTTTTTGTGCAATAGATAATTTTTTTTTATAGATAATACAAGACAATGATATCACATGCAATTGAATGATTCAGTGTAAAACGACAACTTTCTCTTATAACCCTAGTGGACCGTTCTTTTGAGAATAACATTGGAGAAGCTCGATGTTCTTTCTTTTTTCAACTTTGAACTGATCAGCATGTTTTTGTTTGGGATTTTCTTGGCAAATAATAAAAAAAGCTAAACCTTTGATTAAAAAATAATGTAATGCTAATATATTCTTATTCCTAACTTTTAAAAACCGTTTCTGAATTTTGTATTCTGTATTAATTATGTATTATTATATAACTAAAAGATAGTTTTTAAAATTCTATATTATTATTATTATTATTATTCAAACATTAATTAATAAAATTCTTTTAATAACGTAACAAATTGCACAACAACGATCCTACAATCACTGAAAGCAAAGAGAAATGCTACAAGCTACGAATAATTTTTACCAACCACAGTTTAAGGATGGTGTGGCTCATAGCATTTACCCGTCTCTCAGTTAAAATCTAATAAGTATTTACACAAAAGAATAGCACAATTTAGTTACTCTAACTTATCATTGTAACTTTTTCATGATAATTAGCATTTCTCGAAAGCAAAATGTATGTGGAGTTTGTATGATTCTTTAGGTAAGCCATCCTAAAAAAATTTAATTATTTTACAATCTTACTCATATCACGTCTACTTACATTTTTTGGATTTGTTTCTGAATGATATAATATAAAAAGTTATACTGATAATTAATTAAAAATGAATTTGATAGACTGTTTTATAAAGTTTAATTTGATTTTAATATTAATTTTATACCATCATTAAATCATATATCATTATATTCATGTTTGAATTTTTAAATAATTATATTTAATCAAAGACTTTTAATAATGCATATAATTAAATATTAATTTCAAAAACTCTTAATTTACAACAAGTGAAAACTAAACTCAATTGATTTTGATATATTAAATATATAAACATACTAGTAAAAAATATAATCATATGATGCCATTTTTTTAAAAATGTTAAAAGTGTTTACTTTTAATAAAAAAAAAATTATTATAAGAATATGTTAACAAAAAATAGACTTTTAACATAAATCAGTCGAGCTTGATTGTGACGTATTGTTATAATAATTTTTAATTATTATATAATTTTATGTTAATATGTTATTTAACAAATTTTATTACATAAAACATTAAAATTATTAATGAATAATATGATAATATATAATTAGATATAAAATGTGAATTTTTAATATAAATAGTACTGTATCAAAATTAAATATAATTTTATCGCTTGATCAAGATTTAACATTATTTACTATTTATACTAGTGTCACAGGAAATACGATAATCTAATATATATGCTATGAGGTTAGTTGGTGTCGTTTAGCGAGTAAGTGAAATGGGATTCAAAGGCTATTATTACCTATTAGCCTATTAATAATTTCATATTTGTTTTTGAGTATTATTGATGTTGTATTTTTTATAATTCTGAGTGGACAGAGGAGTGAGTTGGTGGTCGGTGGATATTGACTTTCCGTTGGATAGGCAAAAACAATTGGATTTAATTTGGATAATAGTTTTCTTATGTTGTAGAAGATATGTATTATCTTCTACACACTTATTGGTGTAGGTGGGATTCATTTTTAAGGGAAGAGAGAGAAAAAGTAAAGTGAGACCCATTTTAAGTTTGTGTGTGTAGGAGATAGATTATATTTTATGCAACATAAGAGTAATAAATTCCATTTAATTTACCAAACGAAAAACAATTGTATTTTATGGTCGATTATTCTGTTCTAAAAATTTGTTGTGGCCAAAGCAGTAAAGTTGGCCGCCCAAAAAATATATTTCGAAAAGTTTGGATACACTTTCACTGGGGATAAAAAAAAACCCTTGTCACCTACGGGATTGAATTCTGTCAGGTTAAAATTTTACATGATTTGTTCATGTGAAATTTTTATATCTATCTCTTTTCTTTCATATATCCAATTATTATTAATATAGAAAGAAATAAATACAAAAATTTTATATACCCTTTCATGTGAAATTTTAACATGAGAATATCTATTTTCTCTGAACATCACTATGCCCACACCCCAATATGTGTTTCTATAATAACAACATAATTAAATTACATTAATAACAACATCACTATTTTCTCTGGAAAAACTTCACTTTCACTCATTGTGAGTACAACAATTATCATTTAGCCCCTTGTGATTTCAAATTAATCACTCAGACCCACTGTGGTTACAGAATACATCATTTAGCCCCTCAAATGTCTAAAATATCCTTATTTTTTAAAATAATGATAAAACCTTTACTCAAAAAATTACAAATTATATTTGAAATGTCAAAAATACCCCTAATTAAAAAAGCAATTCTGATAAAAATACCTATTCTTTAAAAAATTTACTTTTAATCTTTAACATTTTACCTAATTTGATCCTATGGTTATAAATAAATGCACTAAATAATCAATAATTGAAAAAAAATCATCTCACAGGTAAAAAAAAGATAGACGGATGGTAAAGCCCATTATTCCCATGTGATATACCTAAGGGTGTGTTTGGTTGGAGGTTTTTGAGGAGATTGATAGGAAAATGTGAAGTGGGGAAATTGGGTACCCATGTTTGGTTAAGAGAGGTTCCTAATTTAGGTACCTAAATTCCTTTGCTAGCAAACCACCTTGCCTAGCATTTTGAAGCGAGATTGCCGGCCAAAGAAATCCTTTTCTGATGTGGTTTTTCTGGTTAGCTATGCATTTGGTTATATTGTGTAATAAGCAAAAGACAAGTGTACCCTCTATTCAAGGCGAAAGGAAAATGTCGTAATAAGCAAATCTCACTGCATTTCTTACAACTAATGGAGCTCTACAACTTAGAGACCTGAGTTTCAAAGCTGTTTGGAGTGTGTTTGGAGAAGACCACAATGATTCTGTGAAGTACTGGTTTCTTAGGCTAGACACTGATGGCAATCTCCGCTTATATTCATGGGTTGAAACATCACAATCATGGAGATTAGTGTGGCTAGCTGTTGAGAATCAGTGCAAGGTCTTTGCAACTTGTGGTCAACATGGTGTGTGTGTGTCTTGACTGCTTCAGGTTCTGCTGATTGCGTGTGCCCTTTTGGGGTAGCAGAGAATAAGAAATGTTGTTGTTCCATATGAACAAGAGTGTGAATCTGGCTTTTTTGAAAAACAAGGTTATTTTCGTAATAGCACATTTTTTCCCCATCTATATTTTACCAAAAACCAAACACAGACTTTTCAAAAGTTACCTAATTCCCCCGGTAAAATTTTTCCCAACCAAACAACTTTTTTTACATTTTCCTACCAAACTCACCTCCCAACCATTTCACTACTAATCACATTTCCCTATGATTCCTAAAAATTTCTCCTCAACCAAACGCCCCCTAATGGTTTTCTAAGATTAGGGATTGAGATCGCCGTTTTTTATGTCTTTCTTGACTTTTTCTTTATGCAAAGGTAATGAAGTGTGTCATTCTTTAGTTGTCATTCTTTATATATTAAGCAATTTATTTCTTATTTATGTAGGTATGTACCATATGAATTGGGGTTACTAGTATTAACATAATAGTTGGTGAAGTTGAATTTTACCTTCACAAGGTATATGATTTTGAGCATCTTTGTTTTATTGTCATGTTAAACAAG